ATTTTACCAAGTATTTAATATATATATATTTATTATTCTTTTATCATATTTTTTACTTGTTTTATTAACCATTAAATTATATGTATATATATATATTATTTGTTTGTACCTTATTTGTTTTATTTTTGTTGTTTTTTATTTGTTTTTTTATTTGTTTTATTTATTTCCATCTTTTCTTTTTATTGTTATTTTACTGTTGTTTTGTTTATATTTCTTATATTTCTTATTTTGTTTTATCTTTATTTATATTCCCATTTTATTTAATTTGTTTTATTTTTTCTTAAGTTATTTTATTATTCTTTTCTGTTTTATTCAGTATTTTTCTATTTACATTCTTTCTATCTTAATTCGTTTCCGTACTTCACTGCATTTCTATCTTTTAAGGGTACACTTTAAAAACCGATAAGAGGTAAGTAATCAAGATCAAATGTTACCTTTTTATTTTTTTTTTAACTTTCAATTGTCTTAATTAAAGACAACTGTAAATTACGTAGTATCGAAAGGGCAGCTCAAGGGTGCTAACCCTTCCTTGATTGTAACCGACTCTCGAATCCGACACATCTTTGGTAAGACGCAGATCAGGTAAGAAATAAGGTATCCGATCTACCCATTTGTTTTAAAATAAAAGATCGGTGCCAATTCCAATCCATTTTATTCAAGTCGAAGTCCAATTCCGAGCCCACCTGAAAGACAGTTCCGACAGATTAATAATACACTGAGAGTTCGTTTTTTGTAAGTGCTAAGTGCCTTGTGCCTTCGAAGCATTCTTCATAATTAAGTTCTTTCAAGTTCTTTGTGAGTGAGATCTTCACACTCCGATTTGCCTTCTAATTGCGATTAGGAGGGCTGATTATAGCAATTATCGAATTTACCTAGTCAATTATAGCTAGGAGGGTTCGTAGGACAACTATCTATCCATCATCCATCATCATCATCATTTGCTGCCAATTCCTTATCAACATGGCTATCGATCGGGTGACCTAACTTTAGTGAAACATCTAGAGTGATTTGCACTTCTTACACAGAAGATGAAAATTGTGAATCTCTGGTTTCACCTTTCTATCAGTGTTAAAATAAGTAATGAGTTTAGCTTAAATCCCCAACCAATCGAAATATGCCAAAAAAAAAAAAGAAAGAAAAAAGTCAGATTGTTCTAAATACTTAGTAATGCCATCAAGAGGAGGTTTCCTAATATAACGAATAAAAGGATCGAGGGTAGAATCATTTTCTTGTTAATTTTAAGTAATTATATAAATTAATTAATTAAATAAATGAAATAAATATTAATTAACAAAAAGCTTGTCAATAAAATTAGCTTTCTCACTATGTCCGATAAATAGGTTGAAATATGCGTCACGTTTAATTTGAGCATTTTTATTTTTTACTGTAAAATAAAAATAAAAATTATAACAAACAATATCCTATTTATTTTATATTTAATAACTAAACCAAAAACTATTAAATAAATATAAAAAATTCAATAATTATAAAAATAAAATTATTAAAAATAAATAATTTAAAAATAAATTATTAAAATTAAATAATTAAAAATAATCATATTTAAAATTTTCAAGATTTTTAACATCAAGATCCATGTTAAATGATAAGTGCATAGCATACACATGAAAATCAATAATAATGAGATGTTTATTTTTAGGATAAAAAATACTAAGGGTCTATCTGGTTTTAGAAAATATAGGCTATTTTTCTTCTTTTTTTTTAAAAAAAAATAGAAAACATTGAATAAAACATATTTGGTTGTCAAATTGAAAAATGATTTCTGGAAAATGAAAACAAAAATAAGTGAAAATATGAAACATGAAATCTAGGCTTTTAACTTAACTTAAACGGGTTCAGGTCATTCTAACAATAATTTTTTGACTTACTGGTATCTGAAACTCTCAAACTTTTGCAAAAAAAAAAATCAATATGACCTGTGAATTTTTTTTATAATCAATATAGTTCTCCAACTGATTTTTTTAATAATTTAATTGTATAACATTTGTATGTGTAATGAATTGAACATCTTAATAATTGTTTATATTTTTTTTATTTTTTATTTAAATAATTTTTATTTTTTTTAAAGTTAAATAACTCCTCAAAAGTTATTAAAAAAATCTATTACACCATCAAACATAGCCAAAAACAAAAGTAGTTAAGCCCATCTACTGCATCATCGTTCATCGTGTACTGTTACAATAGTATTGTAAACTCTTACATCAATTTGTAAATTGTCATGTAAGTTTTTGAATTTTCATGTAAGCATCGTGATAGTCAACGTTCGATTTCATTTTTCAAATGATTAGATTAATTTTTTTCAGTGCAAAAAAGTTCAGAGCTACATTAATTATTTTTCCCCAACAGTATAAGGGCGTCAATTACCATTAAACATATTTTTATTTTCATGAAACTTTTGTGTGCCATTGCTTATAACAATATTTTTGTGTATTTTTAAAATTTAATTGATGCCCAATACACAATAACATTATATTCTTAATAAATTAAAATAAATTTTGTGTTGTAGAATTTCTTATCAACTTTATTGTTTTATATTTACATAACTCACATGTTAAATTAAACCCAACATGTTAAATTAAACCCACATGTTAAATTAATGTAATGCAACTTTTAATAATCATAATTTAATTTAATTTTTTAACAATTATTTATTCATTTCTATTTTTAAAAATTAGATACCAAATATATTTTTACTATTTTATTTTTAGTTTTATATTTTCATTTATATCAACCAAACATGTTTACTAATTTTCAAAATTTTGAAATTGAAAATTATTTTCTGAAAATAAAAAATATTTTCTAGAACCAAACGGACCCAAATATTATATAATTAAAACTATAAAAAATCATAAATGATAAAAAGTATACATTATAAATGTTCCTTTCTTTTTTTGTCTTTCAAAACTTTATAAAAATATTCTTTTTTATTTTTATTGAAATACACGAGTCTAAAAATATATATTTGATTTTTCAAAAATATTTTAATGGGAGACACAGATGAAAATTCACTTCTTTTTTAACTATGGAAAATTGAACATCCTGATACATACCACGTAGAACAAAAGTGTGTCAAGTTAAGAGCACTCTAAATAATTTTTTATTTCTTATTCTTCTAATTATTTTTTTTAAAAGTAAATATTATTCATATAAAATTATCTATTTTATCTAGAATTAGAATTAGAATATAAAAATAAATAATAATAATAATATATAATAATAATAATAATAATAATAATAACAATAATAATAACAATAGCTTAAGTCGCTGATTTAGAGGAAATGGTTTGTTTTCAAAATATAATATAGATTTTTTTCTATGCCACTTTTTTTATTGGCTTTTTATAATTTCTACTCCACTCCAACATCTTATCGATGGAGACGACTATTTTATCTAAGATTAGAATATAAAAAATGGATAATAACATATATATTTTTTATAGTTTCTATACCACGTCAATATCATGTTGATGAGGACAAGTATTTTGCCTAGGATTTTTATATAATAAATGAATAATTCATTATATGTCGATGTGGACAAGAAATTGCCTAGGATTGAGATATTTTTTATAGTTTCTATGCCACGTCAATATATGTCGATGAGAACATGTATTTTGTCTAGGATTGATATAAAAAACGAATAATAATACTAGGTTTTTCCCTTCTTTTAATGATTTAGAATTTTCTGAAAATTTGGTCGCCCTCGAGCAAACTAAAAAATTAAGCCCTAATCAGGATTTAGATTACAATTTACATTTATATTTTTGATCGTGTTGTGTTTATCATTATTATAGACATAATTGATGATATCACGGTCACTGCAAATATCGTAATTATGTTTTTTTAAAAATATATGCTATTGTGGACATAAGGATTGTGGGTATCGCGGTTTCAGATGATGTCGTTATCCGGGACGGATTTCATGGGACTAAGAGGAGCCTTGGCGCCACCAATTATTTTTTAAGTATTAATTAATATTGAAAATAATATTTTTTTGAAAAAATAAATAAAAAATACCAAGTCCCTCAATTAAAAACAATATTTATGAAAAATAAAAAATATTTTAACCCATGCTATAATAAATTCCTTGTTTCGCCTTTATCCTTACTACTACATAACGGTTGTTGGTTTGGTTACATACCGTTATTTAAGTAATTGTTCATAATAACAAGTGTTGAAGAAAATAAATTTTAAGGGTAACTCCATAATAATAAGTATTGAAAAAAATAGTTTCTAATAACAAATATTAAAAAAAAAGTAAATTTTAAGAATATGCTCATAATAACAAATATTAAAAAAAATTAGAATTCTGATAAAAAAATTAAAAAAATAACAAATAAATATTAGAAAATAAATTAAAATTTAAAAGTATGTCCCTAATAACCAATATTGAAAAAACATTAGGCCCCTGTTAATAAATATTGAAAAATTGGACCCTTAATAACAAATAATAGAAAAAAATATTGGCGAAAAATTGGACATTTATACAAATATTAAAAAAATAAATTATAATAGTAGGCCCTTAATAATAAATATTAGAAGGAACGAGCCCGTAATATAATAAATATTTGAAAAAATTGAACTCTTAATAACTAGTATAAAATATAATTGGACTATGTATATGGTATAAAATGATTTTTTTACAAGTATAATGTATTATAAAAGTTCTGAGTCTTGGGCACGTGTCCTTCTTGTCCAAGTCCAAATATGATTCTGTTTAGGATGATTATAAAGTAATATGTTCATAATATTTCTTAATCATTGATAATACATATATTCATTTAATTACTAATGCCATCCAATAAATATTAATAATATTCATTTAACTCGATGATTTAGGAGTGGACAGAGACGGTCATATATTTTTATAAATTTCCAATTTTTATATAATTTATTTATTGATAATTTGATTAAATAATTTTATAATTTTATTTCTACTGCGTTCTAGGAGAGGGCATATTCCATTTGTCCGTAACACATACCAAACCTTTTTGATTGTTTCATTTCTCTTTGTATCATCACCGATCTTCATATCTTGCTTGCCTAGTCACCAAAACAGGGGAGCTCAATGGACTATGCCCAACCCATGCTTGTTACCTTCATCTTCATCATAACAAAGTTGGTTGTTTCGGGAAAGCACATACCAACAACTTTAGAAGGCCCCTTTGATCCTATAACCATCCGTTTTGATCCGTCTCTACGTCGCGGCAGTGAAGACATACCGATGGATGATCCGAGGTTGAAGAAGAATGTGACCTCTATGTTCCCAGAACAAATTGCTCTTGCTTTATCCACACCATCTTCAATGCGGATTTCCTGGGTTACTGGTACTCTCGCTATTGTTTTCTTTGTGATACATTTCTCGATGTTGATGTGTTTGGTTTATTATGGCTTAGGGGATGCACAGATTGGTCCCAATGTGACTACCCTTGATCCTACATCAGTTGCCAGTGAGGTTTTGTATGGGAAAGAAAGTGGAAAGTATACTAGCAAAAGAAGAGGAAATGCAACTGTTTATAGCCAATTCTACCCTTTTGAGGGGCTCCTGAATTATACCTCTCCCATCATTCACCATGTTAAAATTGATGGTATAACATGATTAATTATCACATCCATCTCATAGTTTACTGTTCATTGGTTGCAGTAAATGGCAGCAAAAGAACAAACAATCTGACATTTTGATCTGCAGGTCTGGAGCCAGGGACAAAGTATTACTACAAGTGTGGAGATAGCTCGCTTCCGGCTATGAGCGAAGAGCACGTGTTCGAAACTTTGCCGTCACCTGCCCGAAATTCCTATCCTCCTAGAATAGCGGTTATAGGAGATTTAGGTTTAACCAGAAATTCATCAACAACCATTGATCATCTGACAAAGAATGACCCCTCATTGATCTTAATGCTTGGAGACTTGGCGTATGCGGATCAGTACCTTACGACCGGCGGGAAAGGTGTTCCATGCTTTTCGTGTGCTTTCCCAGATGCACCAATTAGAGAGACATATCAACCTCGTTGGGATGGATGGGGAAGGTAACTTTCTTTAACTTGCCTTGTTAAAGACGGGATTTAAATTGCAGAAGCAACACGAGCTCATTTTGAATTCAGGTTCATGGAGCCACTGATATCAAGAGTTCCTATGATGGTCATTGAAGGCAACCATGAAATTGAACCTCAAGTAGCTGGGATCACTTTCAAATCGTACATGGCAAGGTTTGCGGTTCCAGCTGAGGAGTCTGGTTCTAACAGTAACTTTTATTACTCTTTTGATGCTGGAGGGGTACATTTCGTTATGCTCGGGGCATATGTCGACTACAACAGTTCAGGTTAGAACAATAAGCATTCATTCATGTTTGGCTGCAGATTCTAGTTTTTTTAATTGCAGACTTGGATATAACATGGCACAACTGCTTCAACTCAAATCTAGGAGCTCAGTATGCTTGGCTAAAGGAAGACTTATGCAAACTAGATCGTACTGTAACCCCGTGGCTCGTAGCAGCATGGCATCCACCCTGGTATAATAGTTACTCCTCACATTATCAGGAAATTGAATGCATGAGGCAGGAAATGGAACAACTTTTATACAGATATGGTGTTGATATTGTTTTTTCTGGTCATGTAAGTCGGAAATGAAGTGCATTTTCATTTCTATATCGATAATCCTTCAGTATTCTGTTACTTTTTATACTTATATTGATCCACGTGATATTTTTAATTTTCGAGTAGGTTCATGCTTATGAGAGGACGAACAGAGTGCATAATTATACATTAGATGCTTGCGGGCCTATCTACATAACAGTCGGAGATGCCGGGAACATAGAGAAAGTAGATGTCGATCATGCAGATGACCCTGGAAAATGCCCTTCACAAGGAGACAATATACCAGAGATCGGAGGTGTGTGCCACTTGAATTTCTCGTCTGGTCCGGCTAAAGGCAAGTTTTGTTGGGATAGGCAACCAGAGTGGAGTGCATTTAGAGAAAGCAGCTTTGGACATGGGATTCTTGAGTTATATTAAAGCCTATGGTGTTATATTCTCCTTATCACACTTAACTAGGTAGTTTCTAATCTTAAACTTGTTTATGCAGGTTTTGAATTCGACATACGCGTTGTGGACTTGGCACCGGAATCAGGATGTATACAAGGAGGATAGTCCCGGCGATCAAATCTATATAGTGAGACAGCCTGAATTATGCTCTCCATAAAGTGATTTCCCACTTCAACATCTGCTACCACTAGTCTCCGTAAGTAGCATATGTTAAACCGACTAATAAAAAATAGTTTACACATCGTCCAAACACAGTAAAATAGTTTTCAGAAAATATGATTCATTTTACGGGAAGACGTCATTGATTTCGGTTTCGAAAAGTATGTCCAAGGGGCATAGGAAATAGCTTGTAATTTTCATTGGGAAAGTGAGGTAGGATATCGGTTTCCCAATGAATTTCTTCAACAAACATCAATGCAGCAGCTCTGCAACATCACAGTCGGCCAAATGGAAATAAAGCACTCAAATTTAGCTTAATATATATAGTATATTGCTTTGGTACTTTCAACTAACAACTGCTCCCACCAAAATAAAACCATCAATTAACTCGATAATTAAACCCCATTGCTGAGCTAAACTCAAGTTAATGAACTTTATGAATTACAACAACAAAAATAAAGACAAAAGCCAAATAGGCGTTTATGATATTCAACACATTCATACAAATAAATAAAAGGGTAAACTACACATTTAGTACTTAAATTATCAATTGTATTTCGTTTTAGTAACTAAACTTTCATTTGTTTCAAAATCATACCTAACATTTACTTTTTGTTTTGCTTTTGTACCTCGTCATTAAAAACTTAGTGAAACTATTACAAAATGACACTTTTTTATGGGTAAATTACATCATTCATCACTCAACTATCTTTTCACTCATATTTTGGTCATTGAATATTAATTTTTTTAATTACTTAACTTTCAAATTACTCCTAATGTAATCACTCTAACTTTCAAATTTATTTATTTATTTTAATTATATATTAATAAAATAATAATAGAAAATGTCATGTCACAAAAATTATTAATACAATAAATTAGAGTGATTAAAACATGAGCAATTTGAAAGTTCAATAGTTAAATTGAAAATCTTTAAACCTTAGTGACCAAAATAGGGAGTGAGAAGATAGGTTAGCGATGAATGATGTAATTTACCCATAACAGTTCTATTAAATTTTTAACGGCGGGTACTAAAGTGAAACAAAAAGTAAACGTTAAGTATGATTTTGAAACAAATAAAAATTCATATACTAAAATGAAACAAAACTAATAATTTATTTACTAAACATGTATTTTACCCTAAATAAAAGTAGACTATAAGAAATCAACCCATAGCATCAAAACTAGGGAAAAAATGCCAAATAAATTAATGTAAACTGAGATCCTAATATGGTTTTCATAACCAACAGAAAAGTTTTAAAAGCCTAATGTATAGAACAGTCAAAATAATTTATCAAAAACAAAAATGAGATGTAACACCCTAATTTAGGGGCTAAAATTAAGAAATTATAAAGTGGTGAATTTAATTAGTATTTTTGAAAGAAACGGTGGATTAAATTATAAAATTTTAAAGTTGGCAGACCGTTTTAAGAAATATAGGAAATTCAGTGGCTAAACTCATGATTTGATTATTTTTCTTTAGGAGTTGATATAAACCCTATTTCCCGTGCATTTTCTGCAGAAAATGCTCATAATTCCTCTCCCGGTCAACAACTTGCAACTCTGATCTACTCGTCGTCCGACCTCCGATCGACGAGTCGAAACCACCATCGTGTTCGTTGTCGACCAAGGAATAAAACCCCTCAAACCTTTCGTCGTGAATCATCGCCGTTGGTTGTTAATTTCAGTCGGAAGTATCGTCGTTAATAACTCGATTTCAGTTGGTTTTTCGTCGATTCACGACGATCCGATGATTCGTTTATGACACCCCCGCACCATCAAGTTCCTTGCATCGTTCCGAGTCCGCCGGTATCATCCTTGGTCTCCGTCGACGGCGGCGCGTGAGGAGGTGAAGCGGTCAAAGTTTTTATTCGTTGAAATCGAGCACTCACCGTTCAAAATTGTGAACTAAGCTTTGTAAGTGCCTCGAAATCGCTTAAAATAATTTTTAGGAATTTTTCCATTATTTATAGGCTGTCGTTTTGACCGGTTCCAACCCGACCCGACCTGTTTACCCGACCCGTTGACCGCGGTTGACCAAAACTTTGACCGGGCATTAAACAACCTTTGACTTTGACCGAGTATACCTATCCTGACGTTTTTCGATGTTCCAAATCTGATTCTGCAGTCCGTTTTTCAAAATCGGACCCAAAGGCATCGAAATTTCCAGTCAAACCCGTTGACTTTGATTTTGACTGAAAATTCCAAATTTTCGGAAAGTCGTATTTTAAGCTTTCGACGTCCTGAATCCGAATCTGTAGTTTGTTTCGCCAAATTCGAACCCGGTAAGCTATTTTTCACTGATTTATCATCCGATTCGATCTGTTTATATCAATTAAGCTCTGTTTCTGATATAATCTTTGTTGATATGGATCCGAGGAAATATTGGAAGATGATTTCAAGATTGAGGGCGTTCGAATGGAATATAATGGTCAATCGGTATTGCACAGAAATCGAGGTAATACTTTACTACCTCTTTATGCTTTATGGAATATGTTGACATCGGTAAATGTATGAATAAGATAATGTTGGTCACTTTTGTGGAGTCGAATAATTTATACACTCGATATGGATGTGGTAGAAATTCTGTAACTGAATACGGATCGAATGACTAATTAAAGAGATTGAGGAATTGTTAGAATTAAATTACAAGTTTGTGATCAGTGATAAAGAAATCAACCCTGGATCTGTAACTTATATGTTATATCAACAAAGGTTAAATATTAAAGGTACTCGGATGAGAAATTATGAGAATATTCTGGTTGGGTAAAAATTACTGTTGTGCATAATAAATATTAGTTTTGCTTAGGAAATGCGGAGAACCGGTTTTTAACCCCAAGAGGGTTTGAGCAAGATGCTAGAAGTCTGTTAAGGAATCATTTCAAGATCAGAGTCTGCCGGTGTCATCCTTGGTCTCCGTCGACGGTGATGTGTGAGGAGGTGAAGCGGTTAAAGTTTTCGATTCGTTGAAATCGACCACTCCACTGCTCAAAACTGTGAATCAAGCTTTATAAGTGCCTCAAAATCGCTTAAAATAATTTTTAGGAATTTTTATGTGATTTATAGGCTACAGGAAGAGGTCCCACGCACCACCATTGGACGTGGGGAAGGAAAAAATGACCGGTTTGATCGATTTTGGAATTGTTTTGACCAGTTTGATCGGTTCCGACCCGACCAGACCCGACCCGTTTACCCGACCCGACCCGACCCGTTTACCCGACCCGTTCCGTTGATCCGACCTGTTGACCGTAGTTGACCAAAACTTTGACTGGCTTTGACCAGGCATTAAACAACCTTTGACTTTGACCGAGTATACCTATCCTGACGTTTCTCGACGTTTCAAATCCGATTCCGCAGTCCGTTTTTTGAAATTCGGACCCGAAGGCCTCAAAATTGTTAGTCAAACCCGTTGACTTTGATTTTGACCAAAAATTCCAAATTTTCGAAAAGTCATATATTTTGCTTTCGACGTCCTGAATTCGAATCCGAAGTCCGTTTCGCCAAATTCGAACCCTATAAGTTGTTTTTCACTGATTTATCATCCGATTCGATTTGTTTATATCAATTAAGCTCCGTTTCTGATATAATCTTTGTTGATATGGATCCGAGGAAATATTGGAAGACGATTTCAAGATTGAGGGCATTCGAATGAAATATAATGGTCGATCAGTATTGCACAGAAATCGAGGTAATACTTTACTACCTCTTTATGCTTTATGGAATATGTTGATATCGGTAAATGCATGAATAAGATAATGTTGGTCACTTTTGTGGAGTCGAATAATTTATACACTCGATATGGATGTGGTAGAAATTCTGTAACTGAATACGGATTGAATGACTAATATAAGAGATTGAGGAATTGTTAGAATTAAATTACAAGTTTATGATCAGTGATAAAGAAATCAACCCTGGATCTGTAACTTATATGTTATATCAACAAAGGTTAAATATTAAAGGTACTCGGATGAGAAATTATGAGAATACTCTAGTTGGGTAAAAATTACTGATGTGCATAAGAAATGTTAGTTTTGCTTAGGAAATGCGGATAACCGGTTTTTAACCCCAAGAGGGTTTGAGCAAGATGCTAGAAGTCTGTTAAGGAATCATTTCATGATCAGAGAATGTTCGGGAAAGCAATTAACCATAGGATCTTTAAATTATAATTATTTTCGTTAAGAGCTAATATCGAAAGTATCTGGTTAAGAAATTACAAAAATGCCCTTGAGAGGTAAAATAGTCTGAGTTGACCCTGAATGAGAAAGCACTTTGAGGATTTGTACTTAATTTGATTAAGTACGAATTTGATTGTTAAGATCCTGACTTAGTGCAGAAGAATTCTTGATATTCCGTTGGTAAAAATCTGAGAAGGCACTTGACCCGAAAATATCCGAGTTATGAGTAAATACCTGAAGAACAATTTATTGGAGGGTGCTCTTTTATCAAAATTGCTCGAAGGGACTAAAATAGATGATAAATTGGAATTAAATAAAAAGATAGGATAGAAGGAAATTATTGAAATACATCGGATCTGTAGAATGACCAGAATACCACTGTAATGGAATTGACCCAAGAATACCACCAAGCTGAGGAATGATTGGATATCCTCGAGCTTTAAAATGAATGGAATAAAAAGGAACAGTAAAATTACCAAAATACCCTTATATCCTATACTAAGTAAATGTCTTGGATTAATTAAGGAATCCAAATAAGGAGAGGTGTGAGACTACTTTTAAAAGTTATGGATCACAGCTTAAGTGAGCTGATCAACCTTAATGATATGTCAGTACCTGAACTAGTTGGAATATACTTGACTGCTAAATGAACTAGGTAACCTCAAGGACTGAGGATTAAGTAAGAGATTGGAATAAGCATGAAAACTCGGATGAACTTACGTGATGTATTATCCATATGGATTATGAACCATAAATCAAGTACATCAACATTTCCTGATATAGTTGAAACATGGAAATGAAATCAAAACCATTAGAATATATGTTCGTCTCCTTAAGATATTTTCAGTG